ATATACTAGATGTTGCTCTGGTAAGCTCTGTAACTCGGTTATCGTTTAAAACACACAGAAAACTGGCAGCCTGTTTGAAAGAGACAACTCTGCAAACAGTAGAAAAAGGCCACGTGAAATCACTTCATTAACTTTCCCAAAAATGACGTGGCAATTCACAAATATTAAAGAGATGCCGTGGAGATTTGGCATTGCAATAAATGTGTAACAATTTAATAAAATGTTAACACCCTTTCACTAGTATTTATGTATTTATGAAATTAAAATCTAACATGAAAATCTTTCAACAGTGGTAAAGATTTAACAAAATATGCTGTCATTTTTAATCTCATGTAAACTAGAACTAATATAAAGTTTTACTAGATATAGTGATTGGTATTCTGTTAATAAAACATAAATGAAATACCTCGGAATTACTATATATTAATATAAGTGCCAAAATATATTATTCAAAGTCATACATGGGGAAACCTTATAATAGTAAAGATTTAGCAAAATATAGCGACATAATTAAACTTCGGACGTGGGTATTCATGAATCTCGTCTACTTGATATCCTTCGCAGCTCGTAAGATTGTTTTTCGTTTTACCATCATGTCCGCTTCTACCACTAGAAATTTCAAGTGTCTTTTTCTGATTCTAATTATGTGTCCACTTTGTTTCCATTATTAAGCCTTCCTTCTTGCTTACATGTTTCATCGACAGTATTATCATCATCCGTCTGTCGAGTCGAATCTCTGTTGCCACAAGTCTTCCCTTCATCTTATAAGAAAATTGTCCAGCATTCATTGCCGTATTGGAAAATTGATATTACAAAGCAGCTCATCATGTTTTTTTCTTGTGTTTAACCAGATTTTCCTGCTTTTTAATACCTTGCTTAATTTTCGGAAAACATATTTCGCTACTTCAATGTTACTTCGGATTTCGGTGTCATATTTTTAGACCACTGTTAAAACACTTCCACAATATTTAAATTAAAATTTGTGCTTGCATGATTTTGACATCCCCAATTGGTAACTCGCATTATGGTCTGTTTCTTTTGCTGACATCCATGCTTTCTGCCACCATAAGTAATTACGTGTTTTATTTAATTTGTAAATTTCTAATCCGAAAAGGATTATCTTGTCGCTATAAGAGAATCTGTTATCGTGTTTAGAGAGAATATATCCTTCACTAGATATCACGTTCTCATTGTGATTTTTATAGCATCTTATACATACACAATTAATTTTCTAGTTACCGATTGAAAAATTGCTTGACATAAGACTCCATTCATACATATCATTACTACTTGATTCTAACAGTGCTTACTTAAATATTGAAAGACATTTGAGTTTCCTGCATTTTGTTCATTCCGTTTCACACGTTGTGTATTTATTCATCTATTTTTGAGTTTATCTCTGACAAATGGTTGTAAATAATTGGTCAACATAAAGATAACAAACTTCACATTGAATTATAGTAGAAAAAATAAAGATGGCCGACAGTTCGGAATAACAAAAGGGAGGGCTAATGGATTCTGTATAACATAAGAAATATTGATTGTCCCAGGGTTTTATAGAATGTATCGTTTAATGGCAAGGTTGGCTGCTTGCTGCCCGGGAAAATGATTTTTCGCTTCAACTCCAGTTTCGACCCGTTTATTCTCATTTGTTGGTAGTTAAAAGATGTCATGTAAGAAATTGATCGTAAGGCAAAAGTTATGAAAATAATCTTACAGGATAATTCGCAAGTTAAATGAATTTTGCCTTCACTTTATTCTAGACGATGTTAACATGAATAATGGTAAAATTTGCTGTTTCCTCATAAGGAAACATTCGGTATACATTGACTGAGCAGCCAGTGCTACTCTAGCTTGAAATTTATAAAATTTTCTCTCTTTTTTTTTTCAGCTAAAGGTTACAGGTTTTTTAAGTTCATTAACTGTCATTGCTCTTTCCAGTGTTGATGGCGAAAAAAACATTGGATTGTACTCTGAATCAACATTTGATCATATCGTTATTTTCTCTTCCAGGTCTATGTGCTAATTATTTTTGTTGTTTCTGTTGTTCAAACCCCTCTCGTGGTGTGGTCACTGCTATATAACACCAGTCTACAATGTTCGTAGAAGAATGGTCCTCTTTAAGAGCCAAGGTCTTTATTCGCTCGAAGCCATCATTTTAATAGTGATCTAAGAATTTGCATACAGCTGACGGTTTATACATTTCTAAATGAATTTGACGCCATTTATGACGTGTGGGGCAAACGTGCGTCAATACAGAGGCAAAAATAGGCCTCGGATCGCATGTCTGTCAGAACCAGTAACATCCAGGTTTTCTGCGTTAGCAGAGGAGCGACTTGCATGTTCAGATACGGGCCTTTCCGCAACTTGTCTAGATCTGGGTTTCTGCCAGCATCTCCTGTCAAAGCGACGGGAAAACGAGCAGTGAGCAAGACTTGGTGTCTTGCAATGTCGGTCTTGTGGGCATTCTGTTCCTAAAGTTGTTGTGCTTTCTGAAGCAATCTCATTTTGTTACCTCTCGCCTCATTTCCTTTCTCTGCCTATTAGCCCCTCCACACCGTAGCGGCTGGTAGAGAGCTATCGTTTAGGTGTTTCTCTTGCCGTAGTTAACGAGGTAATTTAAGAAGACCCTAGTAACTTTTTTATATATCATCACATAAAATTAAAAAGTGTCGGGGAAGATCTGATTAAAATATTAACTTTCAAAGATTCTTGATCTGATACTCTCATAATTTTAGTTATTCAACACTTTATAAGCATTTTGGTTTTGAATTTAAACGCACAGGCTTTGTTTCTCGTATATACTTATTTTCTGGAAGGGGACATTTTATCCGCTTAATTAGACTCGCATAAAAGTTAATGTTTTGGAAAAAAAGGAAAACGATTTTTTTTTATTTCGGAAAATTAATAGTAGTAGTGATTTTTAGATAAATCATATAGTTTATCACAATAAAAATGTAGTCTTCAGTTCAGTTCTCAGTTTCCGAAAAAACTTGAGGGGTTTTGGCCACCCAGCCCACCATAGCGTGACAAGACGTTCAAAACGGCTCGATAGTTTATAATCTCACCGACAAACTCATCATTGTAGGCGTAAGTTTGATTCTTAATGGACCCCTCGTTTGTTTTTTTACATTGTGCCAGACGAAAGTTAACGAAATGAATATTTCTGCTCCTTGTTTGAAAGTTCACTGGTTTATTACGTTTAACCCCCAACGAGTACCTCATTACTGAAGTTTGTATCAAATTAATCAAAATAATAAATATTTAGATAAAGACGCCTGACAAACTGGATAGAAAATCGCCTCTTACTGACCAATACGATATTGTGATGAGTTCAAGCTTCCGTGTCCGACTATTTTGACACTGAGATTAAACTAATCTTAGAGCATAAATAACTAATATCAACCTGCTGTGTAGGCTGATTAGCAGCAGACACTTCTCACAGTTCATTTCATTAGCGTGTTTATTTCAATCGTTACTAGTGTGAAAGAAGCTTAATAAGAAACTGAAAGGCACAAAAGTCTGTGCAATCATTTATGCGTACACCGCGTAAAACTGGTGAAGTACAACAGAAAACTCTTGTCAGTAACTAATAATGTTATATTTTCATAATGGTTTTTCTACTAAAATAATGCACTACACAAAAACTTCCCACTTCTCTAAAAAGTGTTTAACTTCTACTACTAAGATTGTGTAATCAAATAATCAAATGTAAAACCTTCTTCATGGCGCGTTTTTATTAATGGAGTCAGCTTCATTTATTTATTTGTGTATTTAGGCAGCAAATTTTCTTTTAGGCATGTCTGTTTGAATAACTTACAAACACTATGTCTGATTATTTTTATCATAATCCTTTCATATTCACGAATATTTTTCCGTATATTGCAATCAAATGAGGCAAGAAATGAACTGTAACAGTGAGAATCATCTTTTATTTACCCAAGTACTTTCCATCTCTTTCTGAGATCATCATCAGAGGTGTTCGACATATTCCAACATAAAAGAAAAATTTCCATAATTGATAACTTTCACATTCTAATCAACGCTAAAGCATAACTGTCAGCCGTTTCATTTAAACGCAAAAGAAAGAATTCAAGAATCGATAGCTACACATAGTTTTTGCCTTCCCAGTTGCATTCCTGTTGATCTCAGAAAGAGATGGAAAGTACTTGGAAGATAAAAATGATTTTCACTGTTACGGTGCATTTCTTGCCTTATTTAATTTTAATATACAGGAAAATATTCGTGAATATGAGTGGAATATGATAGAAATAAACAGACATAATGTTTGTAATTTATTCAGTTTATTTATAGATGGTGCGGTAAAAGTACCCCCCCACAACTTTTTTTCCGAGTTGAGGTGAATAGGACGATGTGGGGCAGCTGAGTGGCTATCACGATCACCCAACCTAACATCACTTTCTAGTGGTGTACCTTGAAAGACCTTGTTTACAGGTCAAACCAAAAACAAATGTCACGTTATATAGAAGTGTTGCTGATAGGGTTCAGCATTGTATTGAACATAAAGCGGAGTATTCTGAACATGTTAGCTACTTTGCTAAGCATAATAAATCAAGTTGTTTTGATGCGACAATACTTACAAATTTTCTTAAACTTCTGTAATTTATTTTTGTTCAATAATAACAAAAAAAGACGTTATATTTGCTGCATCCTCTTTCAAAACACGGTCAAGATATTGTGTCCATGTTCAAAGTTAATATTATTAAGTGTTGTTTATTTTTTTTGTTTTTATTAACAAGCCTTCCATTTTTTTTTTAGCCTTTTTTGCATGTAGATGATGCTATTATATTATGAATGAATATTTAAATGAGATCTCATTTAAATATTCATGGGACCTATATATATATATATATATATATATATATATATATATATATATATATATATGAGGAAATAAATCAATTGTTGTTATAGTTTCAAATCAATAACGCTAAAATTACAGAGATTTATATTTAAAACGTACAGCTTTATAGTTAAATATGGACGTCCGCTACATAGACCTGATTGAACTTTCTTTTACTTTTGTTTTTACATTTTTCATTTTTCTTCCTATTGTTTTAAACGATCCCTCGTTGTGTCAGAAATTTGTGAGTCGAGAAATATGTTGCACAAATGTGGAAGGAAATTTTCTGTAAACTATTCCGAATTCAGTAAACTTTCAATATCCGTTTACCCTAATCGCATTATCTTTTAATTAAAACTGCATTCGTTAAATGGATATTCGATTACAAACTAGCATTGCCTTTCAATAACCCACTATTAGCATGATATTTAAATTTGCGTATCATATCTTCAAGTTACTATTATATATTGGAACAGATTTCAGTACATTCCCTGATAGGATGCAAGTATTTTTTTAGATCAATCAAATTACTTGTTTTATATTTAAAAAAATCCACTAAATTCCTTGTGAAATACAGTGTCTATAGGAGATATTTTCTAGTTTGTTTTACTGATGCTTTATCTTCCAAAAAGATTTACAAAACCGACTGCCTATCAGATTCTTTTCTAAGTAAAGAGCTTATAGCGGCTACTGTCTATAAGCTTTTTTTTTCTTTTTTGAATACAGAGCCAATAGTATTTACTGCTTGTGAGCTTGACATTCTATAAATACATAAAACTTGAGTTGGACTCTACCACATCAGTCTGATATATTTTACCCAAAGGGGTACATTGTTGCGTTTTATCAGCTTAAGTGAGGGAAATTTCTTTTCCTTCTTTCCCCGTGATATGTACGAATAGTTACTTTATTTCCCGACAGCCGTGATCGGAACCATTGAATTGGCACTGTGATTCGATGTCACGTCTACGTGGCTGTTTTCGCATTCCATTCATTGCTTAATACTTGCCAATCTGTAGTAAGAGTAATGACATTTGTGCGAGTTTGTACGAACGATCAATATCTGAAGCCAAGAATTCAGTGCGTGAATAGTGAATCAGTTTCTTGTCTTAGTATAAATTCCCGCCACCATATTTTGGCTTTATAAAACCAAATAAAATAAATTAGTTCTGTCTGCTCAGTCTATATGATAAAAAGATTTTTATTACTTTTTCTCTTTTTTTTTTCTTTCGAACTGGTATACGAGAATCGTGTTTCACTGGACAAATGATTTCTCAAGTCTTCTTCAAACAAATACAACTAGGAACATAATTATTCATCAGAAAGCCTTGGAATCAACAGGACAATCTACCATATTTAAAATAACAATCAGTAATAGGATTCATAAGATTTATATTAAACATACAATAACTGTTTACTTCATTCATATTTAAACGCTAATAATATTAGTAATTGCAAATATTTATAATTAGTTTCCTATGTTATATCAACCGATATTTAGAAATAAGTTTTACATAGAGCGTGACCGCTTGGTTGGCATTATGTAATGATGGCTGGTAACTAAAGACTCTCTCTCTGGACGTCTCTCTCTCTCTCTGGACGTCTCTCTCTCTCTCTGGACGTCTCTCTCTCTCTCTCTCTCTCTCTCTCTCTCTCTCTCTGGATTGTCGTCGTTGGCTGGCTGTCTCCCTCCCTCTCTCTCTCTCTCTCTCTCTGGATTGTCGTCGTTGGCTGGCTGTCTCCTCCTCTCTCTCTCTCTCTCTGGATTGTCGTCGTTGGCTGGCTGTCTCCCTCCCTCTCTCTCTCTCTCTGGATTGTCGTCGTTGGCTGGCTGTCTCCTCCTCTCTCTCTCTCTCTCTGGATTGTCGTCGTTGGCTGGCTGTCTCCCTCCCACTCTCTCTCTCTCTCTCTGGATTGTCGTCGTTGGCTGGCTGTCTCCCTCCCACTCCCTCTCTCTCTCTCTGGATTGTCGTCGTTGGCTGGCTGTCTCCCTCCCACTCCCTCTCTCTCTCTCTGGATTGTCGGCGTTGGCTGGCTGTCTCCCTCCCTCCCTCCCTCTCTCTCTCTCTCTCTGGATTGTCGGCGTTGGCTGGCTGTCTCACACTCACTTTCTCGGCAAGTAAACCTTCTCTATTTGGAAAAATTGCGTAACTGAATCGTCTTTTTCTTTGCCTAACTCAAAACTTATCAATATGTCTTTAAATATATGGCGTCATTTGTAAGCTTTTATAATAACTGTCAGATTGAATTTGTAAGACGATTAAACCGTATGAGTTTCATTATTAATTACAGAAGTAAAAATATTTGATATAAAGAAAGGAAAAGATTTATATAGCTGTTTAGATTTTTAGAAATACTGACCTTGCTAAAGAAAAAAAATGAAATGTCTTTCAAATAGAAAAGGATAAAATAGAAATTATTATAATTTCCGCATATTCTTTGATAAAGTTATTTTGGGGAAGAATCATCAAATTCACGAACCAACGCATTAATCTAGTTGGCTAATTTCCTGTGGGACTCTCCTGAATCTAGAACTTGAAACCTTAAACATAATGTTCTTTCAGCCTGCAACTTCATCCACTGCTACTCTTGATCTCCTTTGCGGCAACTCGATTTTCTTACATATTACTTATCTCTATAAATAATCGTATTTTCCGATTTAGAATCTTCTTTCAATAACCAATTGTATATGTAAGTAGAGGGATCATGTAGTACGTGACTATAAAACATTTGCAATAGTATCTCTCTCTCTCTCTATCTATCTATCTATCTATCACTCACGCACACGTATCGTACAGTAAACATGAATGAGATTTCCGGTTTCCTTATCAAATAAAACAATGAAATCACACTTGCTCACCTGAACGAGGAAACACTCGATCGAAATTTCCAGTCAGCGTTGAACAAAGAAGTCTAATCATTGATCGATATTATGAAAGAAATTGTATGAATAACCTGCACTGGAAGTTAATATATTTGGGGAGTGCTTTAAATTATTGTAATGATTTCTCTTTGACAGAGCACATTTTAAAAGGGAAAACTTTGAAAAGAAATTTATCATAAATCCCCTTGAATGCTATCACCATTTTAGTTGATTCGATTTTCTTATGTTATTCTAGTAACACCGGATAATACAAGATTTTTTTTTTTCATACGTAAAATAATTATTTATTCACTTTTGGACTTCGTTAATTTCGCCTTGGAGGGTATATGGTTTCTAGGACTTCAAAAGTTCGATCTTCTTGCGAGAACGCGAATGACTCTCTGTCCTACCCCGAGGGTCTACATTTTATGCAAATCTCTGTCGTCTTCTGTGTAGATATCTTAAGTTCAGATATCGGCACGTCCATTGATTATACATTTTTATACTATTAACTTGCCTCCTCTTTCTTTTTTTTTCTTTATTATTATACAAGCTTTTTTCTCCGTAAAACCAAACAAAATGTCTGATAGACGAGAGAAAAATTTTTCCTTCGAAATGGAATGGTTCATTACTTATCTGAGAGAATAACAGGGTACAAGGCACGTGCAGTCACTTACGTGCCATGCGTGATACACGCTTCGGCGATCCTGTATCTTTCAATACATGACTGACAAGACAGATTTTTTCCCCGCCGTAGGTTGTCATTTCTTTCTGCAGTAGACCAGTTCCCAACCAACCCGGTCTGGCTTGATATTTACCCATAGCTGGAAGGAAAAGAAGACGATTCATACCTTTCCCAAGGGTATTGGCACTTAAGTGAATGTAATGGATTCCACTGGATTTAGAACTTGGCTCTCCGATTCCTCAATTCGAGTAGCTATCCATTACTCCGCCGTAAGGCATGTGCAAAGCAATTAATTAACATAGGAACATGCAGAACTATAATAATTCGGAGAATCGATTAATAAAAATTCTGAAATATGCATAGGTCAAAAGAATCGTAAAAATAAAATTACAAGTAGAAACGATTCATTTAATTCTGAATTCCTGACAAAATATGAATTTGTGCCGTAATCAAGTTATTTTACAATAACATATTATTCAGCTTGAGAACAGCAGCATTTATAGCGGAGGAGTAGAATACTTTTCTTAGAACAACTAACAACATTTATATATGAATAAGGTTTGTAAAATGTTGATGGATAAATATTTATTCTTTAACTCTTCTTTTTTTTTTCTAATAGACATTAAGATCAAGAAAAGGTTTTGGAAACTTTAACACTCACTGGATATATTGACGCCGGGAGGGTCATATTTAATCAGAGTAATATGTCTTGTGTGTGTTTGTAAAGGAGGGAAAAGGGTAATTAAAAAAAAACAAGTGCGGCTTTGTGCTATAACGTGGTGGAATTTGTAAAGCTATGTTTAACCACGATCTGAAAAGACACGGCACGTAAAAGAATATCATGTTTTAAATATGATTATAACATATTTACTGGACACATAAATTTCGATTTTTATTGTTGCAAACAGATATAAATCTAATTCCAATATTAAAAACAATGATATATTTCATGTTTTAAAAATATTCTAATCACAAACCAAACTGACAAATATTTAAGCAAATTCTAAAGAAACATTACTTTGAATTTTTTCTCTACAATTATACAATGACATTTATAGATAAATATGGAAACTCTGATATAGATTAGAACAGGTTGAGACTGACTCCAATAAAATGTGAACAGACTGATGCAGGTATGAAAACACACACATATTTTAAGTCAAATTTCAAGTAGGCAGTAACCGACCACGACTGCCAGTTTCAAGCGTTTTCACGCAATCGAGCGGTCGGAATATTGCTGTATGAATATGTACAAATGTGGCACATGGCCTGAAGTGGGCATGGGGAATGTTGTTTTTCATTTGTCTAAAAAATAAAACTAGTTAGCCACAAATACTGACCCAAACATGCTACAATAATTCTTTCACCAAAACAACACATTCATTCATACCATTTTATACTACATTCTCAGTGACCCTATGAAATCTTAACTAGTACCTATATGTACAATTTGTCTGTGGAGGGGAATAAAATAACAACTTTATAAAAATTTAAGCCCCAATAAATATTTACAATGAAAAGAACATTATCTACAGCAACCAAACAAAATAGTGTTAGTAATAGTCACCCCCACAACCCTTAAATGTGATAGAAACATCTGTTAACTGGACGAAATTAATGCGAGACTTAAGAGATTGTAAACAATAATTCAAATAAACACTCACTCAAACATGCACTCATCAAAGCGCAACAATAAAAACGAAAAACACACGAAATTCGAAAGGCATCCCACACCCATCAGAGAAACGACATCTCTGATCACTTAACGGAAGATGGTAGGAGAAATTAAACTAAAGAAAGAGAAGCGTAAAAGGGGCAAATTAGCATACAAACCCTAGCTAAGTTAACTTCGACAGAAAAATAAACTAAATAAAAACAAGCCTAAACTAACCGATTTTGGCCATGGTTTCAAGCCAGAATTTCCAATATCCTTAAATACCTAACCGACATCAAAATGCCACTCCAAGTCAGAACCTTTCACTCGGCACAGAAGCGCAAGATTCACCCAACTTTCTCCAAATTCTGATAGATGGGATCGTTTCCTTTCTGTTCGTATCTTGACTGATGGCTAAAAAAACAGAATTAATTGGGAAGAGGTAAAATTCTCGTCCTTAAAGAATTCCATCTATCGCGTCGTTCAAATAAGGACTCACATAACACCTACTAAGCAAAAGAACTCATAGTGCTCAGTCCAAGACAACGGCGGCTTAACATTACTACAAACGGAACTGGTCTGGAAGGCAAAAAACTTTCCGCGCAGCATGCGAACCATAATGCCCCCAGCAAACTTGCACAACGAGCCTGCGACTCTGCACTGGAAGAAAGTGTGATCAAGTTTTTCTACTGACCGCAGCGAACGCAGTTTGGAGATTTTTCCAAGCCCGTCGAACAAAGTCTCTTGCTGACCCAGAAGGCCTTTTTAACCACCAGCTAGGTGAGTGATGACTCATCATTATTACTGAGGCATTCTGAACACAAGGCCATATGGAGCGAGCCTTCTGCTTAATCAGGCATCTCGCTTATCCGATCATCCCGAACGGGGCCCCCGATATAACACTTTATATATTGCCTTACGAGACATCGCCTTGACGTCGGAGAGGACATTCGTCGCCCGTAAGATGAACTTTAGCAAGTTGACATTCACGATAACTTACCCCCGCTAGCGAGTTTGGTCGGCTTACCATCTAGGACTCGCCGAGTAGTATAAGAGTTCTTATTTTGCAAGCTACAGCTTTCGACTACCTGTTAATTGCATGAAATCGCATGAAACTGGCAGTCGTGGTCAGTCACTACCCACTTTAATTTTTGTTTAAAATATATTAAAGCTCTGCCATTCTTTATGGCATTGACCACTTTTTTCCAGTGTGCTATCTTAGGCAGACACTTTTGTGAGCTGCTTATACTTATGTCTAATTATATATATATATATATATATATATATATATATATACTCAAATATTGCTGCCATTCCGCGACTTAGTTTCATGACGTTTTCCAGATTTTGTTAGGCGGTTCAAGGAACAAGATATGATACTCAAATATTGAAGTGTTTCCGCAATTTAAGGTTTTTTTTTTATGTGGACTCTAAAACTTTAAATTGCGGAAAGACTTCAATATTTGAGTATCATTTCTTTTTGTTTCGTCTATTGGCTGTGCCTATATATTTTACATCGACCACTTTTTATAACGTTCTTATTAATTATATATATATATATATATATATATATATATATATATATATATAGGAGAGAGAGAAATATGGACAGATAGGAAGAAGTTCAATATATAGACATAAATCTGGAGTTAGATAAACTGGTCCAGATGAAATGATCTATACGAAGATATACGCAGTTTGGAACATCTTAAGGTAAATTACACCTCTTTTTCGATCCTGTAATATTTACACTTCTAGCTGTGCAGATGTCGAACCCAGAAACGAAGGACGCGAATTGCAAACGACTTAAGAATAATGACTCAAACTGGTTCAATTAAGTAGAATAATAGAATTCTGTGGAAGTCAAATGGTCTCCACTTGCAGGAATTGCTCTCCAACTGTGATAATTGAACTGGTTTTATTCACATAAAACCGAATTTTTCAGCAAGCCATCGGGAACAATACACACTAATCAGCTCTAATTCAGATGAACACTAGTTTTCATTCCTAATCTTGTATCTGGCCAAGATGTCTATCCTTATATCAGCCTCCTGTCCTCATCTTTACATGTATCAATTTCTATTTTTTTGTCTTCTATCTCTTTTTAATACAAGTGCCTCACACTGTGTTCCTCAGGCTGTCTATATTATAGTTTGTATTTTATCTAACCGAAACATAATATGAGTTTGTGAACTCTGAATGGCGACGGAAATTCGGAACTGTTTTTTTCTGTCCCAACTTACAACTGTTTCAATATTTTGGCATCTGCACTTTGGCGCCGGATATTTTCAAGAAGAAAATATTTTTTCAGGTAATCAGAACGAGGAATATCTCTTCACAGTACTTACATTACATACGATAAATATTGTGACTCGTGTAATTAACTTGCAATGATTTATGAACATGTTGCGTCAAGTAGGACTAAACAGGGTCTTGCTGAACTGTGACAGAATGATTTCAAGAATCACTTCACAATGTTTTTTTAGGGATTCTTCCTTTGTCCATATTTTCAGGAAACTACAACACGATCATCACACTAAATTTTGAAGAAAAAATAAAGAGAGCCATTACAAGTGGATATCTCTTTCCCATTCGTCATTATAATATCGGCCATTTTGGTGAACAAATCGCGTTTTTTAAATAAAATTGGTTAATATTATTTAAATGTTTCTACTTCGAAACTGCCTATCGAAGTAATTTATAGTCGTCTCTCAACGATGAAAAGGCTGAGTGTGCCAAATATACGGCGCGTGCATATTGGCGATTGGTATTTTTTCCACAGCGGACATGTTGGCGATTGGTATTTTTTCCACAGCGGACATGTTGGCGATTGGTATTTTTTTCTTCATGGACATGTTGACGATTGGTATTTTTTTCTTCATGGACATGTTGACGACTGGCGTTTTCACGTAGAACATTTTGCCAACGGATATACTGGCGACGGACAGTTTTGATATTTAGAGGGCGGAAATTATAGTTTTTCTCATGATACACTTAACAAAAATGGACTGAGGGTTGTAGAATTGTAACGATTATTGAACGAGTTCCCTTGAAGACTGGCGACTGAAACAGAAAAAACACTAATGATTTTGCGTTCACAACACCAACACAATTATTTCATCCCTCATAACGAAATGGTCAAAAAAATAAAATAAATAAAATTACTGTTAGTGTTCTCTTTCCCATTTTCCATTAAAATGCTGGTCATTGGAAGAGAAAAAGTACGCCAATGTTCTAATGACACCACTCATGCATACCAAACAGAAAGTGATGTTTATTAAAAACGTTGTCAATACTCCCGTACAAAATAGTATTCTCCAATCAATGCATCAAGCTCCAAAATCTGGATGCCAAAATGTCTTATGTGGTTCTAATTTGACGTCGTATTCACTTTATAGGGCGATGTCTTTTTCAGTTGCGTCTTTTTGGACAGACTTAAAATAAGCTGTAATATAAACTTCTTCGTATGCGTACTTTCTTTTGATTGATTGTTAGCCAGCTGATTTTACAGGGAATCGATAATGAGGACGATATTTCGTTCTTGTTACTGATGACTATTTTGTTAAGCTAAACAATGCATATAGCAATCAAAGTAACCCTGTGTTGATTAGGTCATTAAAATTGGATCTTTCGCGATTGGTCGTTGTAAAAGAAGGCCGTCGTCTAAGCACACACGAGTCCAGCACGCATACAGACAAATCGGCAAACAACCTCGAAAGTGTAAGCCGATTACGTATTACACACAGTTTAATAAATAAATAGGAATATGGCGTCTTTTTCAAATAAAGTTTCCAAAAACAATATAAGTCATAAAAATGTTTGATTAAAAACAAACATTAATTCTTTAAAAATATGTGTATGAGTTCATTTTAAAGACACACACACACACATATATATATATATATATATAAGTCGTGGTTCGTGGCGGCACAGTCCTATGTGTAGGGAAACTCGGATGAATTGCACCACGGAATTTGTAAAGAGCGGGGCTATATCGAGTCTAATTCGTTACCTCTTCATCACCGAGGCCCGTTGGTACGGTTGGTTTGACGCTTGCGTCGTATAGTAACAGTCCGGTAGTGGATGCACACTGCTGATGAATCTCAAATATAGGACGAAAGGCGCATCCAGTGCTTTCTACATTCAGTTGATGTTTCTTCTAGACTCGATGAATTAATTAATTATGATTATCTTAAATCCGCTTAATAAATTCTATCACTTATACATATATTCTGTTTATACGTTATTTTTATCAATACAATTTATTTAAGTAAATGCTCCGTTTTTGATTAAACAGTATTACATTTACTGCCTTGAATATTAGAGAAATTTTGTAGAAAATATATGTTCTCAGACAGGAATCGAACCTGCATTTCTATACCGAAACAGTCATTTGATTTGATGCTCTATACCATTTTCAAAAAATAACAAAAGCTACATCACATGAAGACTTGTAGCGACAGAAAAAACAAAATGGGTAACACATTTAAGTAAAAGAAAAAATAATGACATATTGAAGCAGTTTATTACCATACTAACAAAAAATAAATATATCGGAAAGGAACTCTATTCAATAATAGAAATGACCATTACATAACGTGAATTACAGAAGCCCAATTTGAAAACAAACTTTTTTAATAATATTTTATATATTTCAAGTGACAGTATCGATAACTATTCAAACAATGAAAGCTGAATGTTTTCTGGAGAACAGTAAATTTTTCCGTTACAAAATTATCAAAAATTTTATTCTATTTTATTTTATTTTTTTTTTTTAGCACGACTCCTTGGTCGAGCAAATAACTTTTCAACAATACCTCGGAAAAATGTTCGTATTTCTTGTAAACGATCTACACTAGCTGACTTATTTTACAGGCAATACACTTAGAAAGACATTTGTTTACAAATGAAGACATTACTTTATGGAAAAGTGGACAACAAAAAATGTTAGGGTCATGAGAAAGTAATTTTTTAAAACTTGGCTCATGTCTGAACTGCATCATTTTCTTTTCCACTGTTTATAAGGAGAATAATAATATCGACGCTACCTTCCGTTCAATTCAATTAACCCGTGCGAGACAAATTAGAATAAATACTTTAAAAGACGATATCTTTTGTTTTCGAGTAAGAAATCTTAGTAAACAAGAATCAGCAGACAGGAACACTGAATGAATAATTAAATGACAATTACGCCGTTAGATTTTATTATGCAAGCCAATTCTTTCACAACGAAAACGGTGCTAAAAACTGATGCTGGTGAAACGTTGAGGATGTACAATAAACTTTAATGTACTTAGAAATAATAACTCATATATTAGTAAGAATATGAGGATAAATTTTAGAGACATAATATAATTATTTAAATACATCGGCCAATCAAGGGTGTGGTGTTTCTGATCTTTCTTCGAACATTCTATCTTCTTGCGGGGTTACTTGAAATTCTGCTCTCACCTCACATTCCTCTGACCTTTTATATAACTTCCTTTTATCCGTCTGTCTTGTATGTTCACATCTTAATTTTATTTTCTCTTTATGTTGGTGCAACAACCGATATCATTTTGAGTGCTGATTTTACACTTGGTGGTTTTGAGGACACCTTTTACATAAATCCTGAGAACATCAAGGTCTTTTGACGTTTCTGGGGTGACATTGAGTACAAAACGTTGGTATCTCTTATTATAAACACTGCATAATGTGATTACCACAAATTGAATCTTATATCAAAAGTTTCTGTTTAAATTTCATTCAGACCTTTGGCATTTCCTGTCATGATTCATATACAACACTTACTTGATATCATTATGCGATCCGGGAGATGGTCATACTATTGCAAATATCAAACCATATAATAATTATCAATGTGTATTTAATTAGTTATTTATATATATATTTCCAGTTTATTATATTTCCTCTCCAATCTCTTGTAGTAAGGGACATAAATCCATTTTTAGTAAATTTATGCGTGATGACTTCCCTTAGTCGTTTTAATAAACTACACAAATAAAATAATCTGCATTTAGTCGAAATTATTTCCCAAGAAAAATAATTGTTTAACCCATATTTAGTTTAATCAGTTACTTATCCAATACGTTTCTTAGTCTTATTTTTTCAAGCCTCTCATGTGTGGTACACAGATCTCTTTATCTATTAAGTGATCATCCTGCTTCAACTTGTCCTCGAAATAGGCTTTGTTATCGCTGTCTTTGTTGTCTTGTTGCTAATGTTCTTCTTTCGAGAGATATTTCCATTTCACTGAAGCATAAAATTTTTAACATTAAATGATATTGAGCAAATAGCGATTGATATAAGACCTTGAGTAATCAATTAATCATAAATACGATTGAACGTCTAAAATATATAAAAGGGAATGGATTAATTAAACGGTTCATTGGCCTCTATTTCAGTTGTGAATTCTTTATCTCCGTTATATTGATTCTCAGCACAATGTTTCAAAAGTTTTGTTTCATTATATCACACTACTGGAACTTTTTAAAAAATTCCACTCGTTTATATGTAAGAGTTTAGTGTCACAAAAAGTGGTGTTGCCGCTGTTTCAACAGTAAGTGAATTTTTACGTGGTCCAATTGCTATCTCTGCAACAAAACATGAACTGCCTTACAGCGCTAAAAAGATCTAACTACCCAAAAGTATTTACCCAAGAGCATTAGATCTGTTGTACAAATCTTAATTTATTGTCTTCATTGCTTCTTCTCAGTGAGAACATTTTTAAGATTGCCTGCAGGGATATTGCCATTCCATGACAATTGAGTTAATTGTATATTTTGTGTACGGTACCTTTTTCTACTTCTATTCAGAAATACGAAAAAGAAATCGCATTCCGAAAAGTTTCTGGACCAAAGGGTTTCAGATTAAAGTTTGTGTAACTGTAAATAGAAGCGTTAATTTGGCATACTCTATTTTTTATTTACTTCAAGAGTATTTATTCGTACTTTATTCAAATCGTTGTACAAAGCCTTTTTTAACGTGGATGTATCAGGCATACGGACTTTTGTTATTTTCAGACTCTCAAATACAAAATCCAATAAAACAATTTAGCCAGAGAACAAAGAAAAGATTAGAAAAATTCCAAGCATCGTTCCCAAACAGAGATAGTCAACAGCAAGAACCAGTAATTTACTCATTGAAATACATATACAAAAAGAAATGCCACTGTGATGCCGTATTGGAAATTTCTTATTTCGCTGGACACCTCAAATTGATTTTTGCCTTCAATAAGGAAAGTGAATGAAGCCTTGTTCGTGTCCATGACTTGGGAACATGCCGGACACCGTGTACCGCCAATAATATCTGCTACTAATTCAACGAAGATGCTTAACAAATGAGACTCAATACCGGGTTGAGAGAAATCTGTGGTCAAGGCGAGAAATAAAACCAAGATGAAACAGCAGAAATAAGTTCATAATTAGATGACTGAATGAAATAGGATTCATCTCCAAAAACACGGGTCTTTTTGTTCACATTTTAGACTTTTCCTTTTTTAAGTACAAAGGAGTAATAGAAAGATGCCGTTTCGAACAGGAATGTATCTCCCGCCGCACTCCGGCCAAATTCTGATGTTTTTATAAGATTTGTGAAAGTAAATGTGTTAGAAAACTTTTAAATATCTTTCCTCTCTCTCTCTCTCATTATATATATATACAAATCGTGCTAATGCTCACAGGGATAAACAACACGTGTACTCAATATCGAAAAACAGAACTTGCATATTGTGTAAATTGTATTATTTCTAACCGAAAACAAACATAACAGCATGAAACGTTACAAGACAAGCTATATCTCATACATACACATATACGCATATATATATATATATATATATATATGTGTGTGTGTGTGTGTGTGTGTGTGTATGTAAGGTAAAAGGCAATAGGAAAACTGTATTATTAGTCGACCAGTTTCGTCTAATGTGTACATTTTCAAGGCAAAAACGAAA